AATACCTCATAACAAATCATCGTCGACAAACGAAATGAGTTTTAGTTTTTTGAATTAAAAAAGCCAAAAACACATTTTCAGAGAGTCTGTTAGCCAGAGAAAATCAGAATAGCCAATAGCAGACAAATCCGGAAAAAACAGATAGACACAAATAGAATCATTCAAATTTTGTATTTTGTTAGTTTCTCAAGCAGCCTTTACATATTCAATCTCCAAAACCCACAATTTAAACTAAAACCCACAAATTTAAACAAAAAACTCCATAAAATCATGAAAAATTTAATAAAATCCAAGTATATTAATCACAAATTCGATCACATAAATCTTCACATCCAATAAGTCTAGAAGGTACCTAGCTTCGTTGCAAAATCGTATCTATACATGCCAAAGCTCAAATTTCCTTGCAGCTGCCTTGATTCGATAAGTCCTGATTCAAGCAGACTTTAACAAAGGTTTTCAATCATTACTTTTTTAATTTGTTTTGGAAATGCGGTCAGGTCATGTTGTCTAAAACAATTGTTAACATGTTATTGTAGAATATATTATAGCAAGGAGTAAACAATTTAACACTCGAAAACCTGCAAGCCAGTGGCTCAAAGACGAAAAAAAACTGTACAAACCCAAATCAACTAAGTTACAAAATAACATCAGAGTCTGTGTAGCGATCTAGTTTTTTATTTTGTAATTAAATTTAATCTCAATTTTTTGCCCAACAATGGAACCATCAGAGGTTGTGCAGCAATAGTGCACAACAGTTTAGTAAACACCATAAGTGAATGGGGATAAGTTGAATATTTAATACATATACATCTATTAGAATAGCTAAACATGTAACATAATTCACACCAATAAACCATCATTCAATTTGAATTTTGAAGTAATCTGTCCATATTGCCTAAACTACTTAACCGAAAGAGAACAAATTTACTGGAAAATTTCTAATTTTTCCTAATATGTTAGTAGAGAACAATTTCTTACATGTTTCAATATATCCACAAAAATTGTTCTTTTTCCTTATGAATCTGACACGGACACCTGCAACTCCCCTATAGAAATAAAAAAACAACCTGAAAAATTAAAAGGAAATGATTAGACCCAATAGTCTCTGATGAAATCCAACAAATTGAATAGGGGTTTACATAAATAGGCAGAAATTTAAAAAAAAAATCCATTCAAATACATGAACAAAAGATATTAAAACAACAAAAAATCAAGAGAAATCAACTTTGCAGTAAACTCTAGATCCAAAAACAAAAAAATTATTCCTTCTCTATTCCTTAGCTAGCCATCACTCTCAAAATTCCTCAATCCCTTATATCTCACAAAGAGAAACACATGCATGTCCATTTCAGCTCTTAAAACCGAAAGAACTGTTTCGGTTTCTTAGTTTCTTACCCAAATCCACCAATTCAAATCAAATTTTTGCAACACACATGTGAAATAGATACACAAAACACCAACATTACAATGGTTTTTTTTCATTCACAGATGTGAAACAGATACACAAAACACCAACATTACAATGGTTTTTTTTTTTTCATTCACAGATGTGAAAATAGATACACAAAACACCAACATCATACATTCTTTTCTTGTGGCTTTGGTGGCTTTGGAAAATGGGTTTTTTTTTTTTTGTTCAAGGCAATGGACGGCAGCAGAAAAGGGGGAGAGCAGACAAGCAGCAGATAAGCTGCAGAAAAACAGCAGAAAAGCAGGAAAAAAAGAAGTAGAAATTAAGCAGAAAAGCAAGAAATAATCAAATTGACTCGAACTTACCAATTTTTTTATTCAAAAAGGAGTTGGAATCAAACTAAACCTGAAAAAAATATCATATATCCAATATTAAGTGCATACACCTATAAACTAATCCTTATATATACTTTAAAATAATATGGATCAATGTAATCTAAAATGTTATATTATATTCAATATGGCAATACCAAATTGTAAAGTGAACTCTAAAAAGTAAGGCCTAAGGTAGATATCTGTATTATATAGCAACTTCATTTCCATCAGAGAGTACACATCATTGAACAAACTAAGAAGATACCTGTTGTAAATTGAGAAGCTTCCTCTCAAGATCTCTAACAGCATCATGTCGCTCTTGAATTTCGGTCAGAGTGTCCATTATCTACAATTTGATACACAATTTTGGAAATGATCAATCTTAATCAGAAAATTAAGTTTTCAACAACCCAAGCTAGAAGAGTTAGGAGCTTAAAATTAATTGTTTAAGATGTCAAAAAATGTGTCAAGTTTGTGAGAGAATGCACAATTTCGATTGTAAAAAGTGCTTATTTAGGGGCAGAGAATAAAAAAGGATATTTGACAAACCTAGCCTCCCCCTTGTTCTTGGATTGCCTTCTGGAAAATTTGTTCACCGTCTCCCGTCTCAATTAATCTTTCAATTGTCTGTACAAAGTAAAATAATTAGAAAATGAGCATTCACAGTGGTATAGATATACCGCAATTTCAATAGTGCAATAAGTTTTACCTCTTCATCAGCTCTTGCGCCCATCACTGAGATTCACAAAATGCAAGAGAAATAAACTATAAAATCAGATCATAGAAATTCAAGTAGAAGTTCCAGAAATAGCAACCACTGATGAGTGGCAAGTAAGGGGTTCAAACCTGTAAAAATAATGTACCACAAAATAATAGAAAGGCAACAACTTTACACATTATTACGTATAATTTTCATTTTCTATATAGTTTAGCATGTTTTTTTTGTTAGATGATCGATCTATACGCACACATGGCATATGTACATGGATATATACAACATAGAAAATAAACACAACTAAGATAAGGACCACCATCAAAATTGAACGGATAACGAAAATACATATCACCTTCTTTCCCATCTCTAATGCTATGTCATAAGTCCCTAAAGAAGCAACTGCCTGAAGGATGAAGAAAACCAGAAACTCATAATAACCATAGCAGACAAACCTAGAAAAAGACGGAAACAACAACAACAAAGCCTTTTCCCACTAAGTGGGGTCGGCTATATGAATCCTAGAACGCCATTGCGCTCGGTTTTGTGTCGGTAAAAAAAATAAATAAATAAAATAAAATTATTCAGATTTTGTATACTGTTAGTTTCTCAAGTAGTCTTTACATATTCATTCAAGATTATGCATCTATTAGAGTGCTTTAAGCAGAACGGTAGTGTAGTATTCAGAATTATATTCAAATGATCATTGAGGATTTTTTACAAATGAATCTCCCACTATTCTACTTAAAAAACCACATACTCAATACCAAAGTGAAAATTGCATCGTTTTTTACAAAACATTGAAAAACATATGAACTGATGCCCAACTTTAATTAATCTGACATTAATAGTTGAGTAATTCAACATTCAGAGTTGACAGGAGAGTATATAACATTGGAAAACATATGAACATGCCCACCTATTTGGCGGTTGAATAATCATCACATAAATTTACATTATTCACAAATTTGATCATTCAAATCTTCACATCCAATAAGTTTAGAAAGGTACCTAGCTTCCTTACAAAATCGTATCTCTACAGGCCAAGGCTCAAATTCCCTTGCTGCTGCCTTCATTCGATAAGTCCTGATTCAAACAGTCACATATATCAGATATATATATATATATATAATAAGTTGATGCGTTCAATGGGCATGAACTTATCAGGTATTATGAAACCGATTGAACACGTTTAGTGTAATGTCTGCAATTAAATAATGAGCGTGAAAATGACTAACAGGGGTAACACAAACTGCTCAACTTAGGAATTAAAGCATCCAATATTTAGAAAATAATTGACAATTTTCATGGTCAAATTAATAAGGAAAAATCATAAATAATAAACTCAATTGTTTCAACTGCTAATTCTGATGAAGCAGCAGTAGTTCGACATATTGCTTCTGATGAAGATTATTATATATCAGTGGTGCAAATTAGCAAAATAATAGTGCTTTCAGACTTTTTGAAAACATTTGAAAGTGCCTTCAGACTTAAATTCACCAATTTCATAACCTTCTCCATCAGTACCTTCACCTTCTCCGTCCCCTCCTCCTTTCATCACCTACTTCATCAACTCTCAATATCACCAAAATTCTAAATGACTATCCAGGCTTCATAATAATTTTTTTATTTTAGCCTAAAATAGGAAAAAACCCAAAACAGAAGATGTACAGAACTTTAGACACGAATATTTCAAGATATGAATTTGAGGTCTACTACACATCATTACAGAGGACTAAATTTAAGATCAATAGGATAAAAAGACATGCATTTTGATATTTTCATGCATGTACTTCTTGTACTCAATGCATTTCCGGAGGAGAAGAGAAGGATACCATCTCTTTATCCACTCTCTTCCAAAATAGTAGCATATCTCTGGCTAGTTTCCTTGTACGAATTGTAGCCCCCTCATCAATTTAAGAGATCTACTGACCTTCAATTTCACCTACATAGAATAAAAGAGTCGACAGTTCAGTATAAACATTACAAACGCCATCTGATGAAACCTAAACCCTACAAACGTCAGAAAAGGGTACAAATTTTAGAGAGACAACGCTGTCAAAATCTTACAGGAACAATCCTAGGTAGAGCAAATCTTTCAAAACCAACCCCATCCCTCCCTCACTCTCTCTCTCTGAAATTCTCACACCCCCATACCCTCATATTCAGCATCACTACTCAACCCATAATTCTATCTCTGCATTCCCACTCCCCCATCCCCATGCCCCCAAATTCAGCATTTTTTTTTCATCTAAATTACTATGAAAAAGTGTGATTAATAATCTTAACAACGTGCTCAAAATCAAGCCCAAATTATCCGAAATGGCATACACTTCAAAACAAAATTTTAATTCTGCTACAGGTAGGGGGAGACGGGTTAGGACAGTGGGAAATGGACCACTTTTTTTTTATTCCTTGATTCCATCATTTTGTAGGTGGTCTACGAACTCCTTAATTTAATAAGATTAGTTTAGGACTTGTGAGCATAGGTACTGCACGTTGATAACAAAACAATTTAAAAGTTGAGAAACCTTATCCACTCATCTATTCTATTAAACCTTAAAGATACCTCCCAATATAAACATAAATTAAATATAACTCGAAAAAATACAAATAAAACAAACAATAATCAGCAAACAAAAACCCTAAACATTCATATTTTTCAGATTCAAATGAAACCCAATTTCCACACATTAAATTCAAAATCCCATCAAAGAAAATCAAATGCTAAATCCAAAATCTGCATTCTCATCAAAAAAAAAAAAAAAAAAAAACTTGATTTTAACTTTTATAAATGCAAAAAATCATATATGCAAACTTAAAGGAACAAACAAAAGAATTACTTACAGAAATTTCAAAAGCTTAATCATGCGCTTGATGGATCTAGTGGAAATTTGTTGGACCTTTTCCCTAATTAGATAGAATTCGACGTTGGCTGCAGCAAACTGAAAAACACATTGTCACCAAGCATAAAAGCCGTTTTTCAGATGAAATGAGGGCATATATAAATATCATTCGGATTCAAAAAACTGTATACTAATTCCTGTTTAGATTTTTTAAATTATTTAGTTATTATGGTAAGAAACATAATTTAAATCATTATGAGAATAATATTTTAGTGGGAAAAGGCTTTGTTGTTGTTGTTTATGAGAATAATATTTTAACAGTCACAATAAATATCATAAATGAACTAATAAGACATTTGCATTCAAACAAAATACAAATGATTTAGTCAATTACTGACTTCAAATCTACTAATTTTTGTGAGAGAGAGAGAAATAATTACAACATTTTTCTATGCACGACGATGATAAATATGACTCATAAATAGTTTTGACCTTAAATAAAAGAAAATGCTCAGGAAAATCAAATTTAACAGAGGTCAATACCTGTACCAGGGAAAAGAATGGATGCATCCATTTCTGTAAAGGCTGCACTGCCCAAGAAGTAAATACATTATGATGAAAGTATATTCATAAATTAATTAAAAAATGAAAGGAAATTATGCATCACGATTTCGACTTACTTTTTTGGCAACTTGTTGCAGTGAAGAAGAGAGCCAGAGGTACCGTATCAGGTACCCACCACCAACGCTGTGTAATGATTTTCAATATAAAAAAATAAATAAAGAACACGTTAAGGGCTTGAATTGCAGGTGCACTCTCTCAGTTAGTAGCAAATAATATAGTCATGCTGCCTAACCATGATAAAAATTAACAATTGTGGAGATATATGTGAGCTCCAAGAATCAAATCAAATCCATTTGTATACTTGCCCATTCTATTTTCTCAGCTACTAATTCTGCATATACATAATCAAAATGAATTATTAGCCAAGTCCACTTCACATCATATGTTTTGAGATTATTTTCTCACCAGAACAACAGTTAGAATTCTATGAAGATACAAACGCATGCAGATCTATAGTTTTCTTCAGGATCTGTGACAAAAACATAAGCACGCTTCTTATTTCCAAGAATCATGTTGATGAAAACGTTTCATCTCTTCATATTTTATGTCCCGGCCGATAGTAAACTCCTCTGTTCTTCGGATTTTTCTGTTGTCTTGCATCTTGCGCATTAAAAATTGAACGGACTTAAAGGCTGCCACTTCTAAGTAGTCTTTGATGTCAGGCAGTGACCACCTGTAACACATGAGTAATTGTCTCTCAGTAATTCAGAATTCACCAGAAAAACAAAAAAATATTATCAAATAAGTAATAATTGGAAAAACATAAAACAACTTACAGCCTCCAGCTGTATGAAAATGCTTGTTTAATTTTCTACTGCTGCTTTTAGGAGATGGAAATGGAGGCTTTTTCTTGTCTTGTGCTCAATGATATCAATTTCAGCTTGCTCCCAAACGTACTGCAAAAGCTAAAAAGAAAGTTACAGACTTTGCAAGTAAACAATAGCCGCTAATTTTTCTCCAAAATTTTCAGATACCTCATTCCCAACCATACATCCAAATAAAATAAAAGTAAAAACTCCACAGTACCAATACACAACCAAAATTTTGAACCTGAAAATCCATCTTCAAAGTTCTATCAAATGCGAGCATTTACTCAATTTTAAGAAGTTGTATTGTTAAAACTTAAATCCCATGATGAACCCACCTTCCTTAATCTTTTCTAAAGAAGCAATAATTCACATAATGTATCCAAATTAGAAAATAACATATGATTCATGATATCTTATACTTTCATATCCAAGTTATGTTTATGCAAATCATGAGAGACACGCATTTTAAATCTCATCCCACACGCCCTAAGTAAAAAAGAAACCAGCTCCTCCATCATTCAATGTCCAAGCAGATTTAGCATGTGGAGTAATAGAATATCAAAACGCAAGTTACAATTTTTAATGTACTTTAATAATTATTTCTTCAACTTTACCTCCAAGTAGTTCTTCCGATGGAAATAATTGATTTCCAGTGCCTAAGCAGTGAGGCACCCTTTCTTTCCCACACTCTCCTTAACAATCCATGAACCTGAAGAGAGAAGAATCAGTAATAAGTTAATTGATCTTAGTTGGTTCCATAACTTGCTAATACGAAAAGAGAACAAAACAAAAAAAGTTAATCGAAGGATTTTACAAAAGCTACAAAAATTAACTAAATCTCACATCAAAAGAACCCAGAAATTTAATGAAGAATTCTCCAAAACCCACAAATTAAAACGTAAAATTCTACAAAATCATGAAAAATTTAATACAATCTAATTATATTAATCACCAAATTGAATTAGATCTTCACATCCAATAAGTAACAGAGTTTGAAAACATTATACCCCAAGAAACCCCAAATTTACAGAAATTGGGAGCAAAGATCGAAGAGATCTCATGAAGCCGACATCGAAATCGTCAATCGTGTTGCAGAGCACAGTTTTTTCGTTTTGGATTTCCAGATAAAGATTCAAACCCAAAACTAAGTAATTTATAAAAAAATGCACTGAATCGATTCGAGAAAGTGCGAAAATTATCAAACCTCAAGATCTCTTCCGTCGTTTGCGGACTCGAGCCCATCTCCATGCTCCTCTCCTCCATCTCACCGAAGCTCTCGAGTTACAGAAATGAAGGCCACTTTGAGTGGTTTTGATTTTAGGAAGCAGGAAGCCGATGCTATTCCAAAGATGGTGTTGTGGCTGCTAGGGTTTCAGAAAGGGAAAACGAAGCCAAATGAAATCGAGGATCTGCAGAAATGGTGCTGAGATCCCCACTCCTCCCGCTCCCTCTCTCTCGCTCTGTCTCTCTCCCTATCGGAGGCATGGCCTCCCATTCCCGAAAGCACTCACTGAATGACAGCAAACCTAAACCCACCCCAATCTGTCTCAAACGCACAGGACAAAATTGCCCTTCCAACCCAGCCCCAATATCAGCCCAAACCTGACGGCTTTGCTGTAAATAGGACATTTAATCTGCAAAAAAATTCATCATAATCAGGAACCAACAAAAGGGATAGATGAGTGAAAGATGTTGGTAAGATGAGAGTTGAATCAAAGGAATCAGTAGTGTAAAAACTGACAAAATGCTTACAAATTCAACTCCAATTGTGCTGATGTAGCTATCCAAGTATGAATTATCCTATTCAACGATTCCGAAGCTCAGACAAAAATTGCATGAGAAAAATTGAGATTATATGCAATTGTATGTCAAATAATCTGAAAAATACCATATATCCAATTTAAGTGCATACACCTATAAACTAATCTTCATATATACTTTAAAATAATACAGATCAATGTAATCTAAAACATTGGAAACATTATCATACAATTAAAGAATCACGATGCAGAAAATGTTCTTTCCATTATTTTCAAATAACTTTTCACCCCACAACACTGAGCCTCTGCTCATGACCCCTACCCCTCTCCCTGAAATCCTGAATACCCCATATGGTTCTCTCTCTCTCTCTCTCTCTCTCTCTCTCTCTCTCTCTCTCTCTCTCCCCAAAATGGGAAGTGGAAAGTTTGGTCATGCAAGACTTAAGACATTAATTATTTAAAGGACCTAATGGATGGCAGAAAATGGTTGGGGGAGACGGGTTAGGATAGTAGGAAATGGACCAGTTTTTTTAATTCCTTGAGTCCATAATTTTGTAAGTGGTTTGCCAACTCCTTAATTTAATAAAATTAGTTTAGGACTTTGTGAGCATGGGCGCTGCATGTTTACAACAAAACAATTTTAAAGTTGAAAAACCTAACCCACTTATGTAATGTATTAAACCTTAAATACAGCTCAACCTCTAATAATAATCTTATTAAATTAAACCATAACCAAATTAAATAATGCAGACACAAAAGCACAACTATTGTCACACGAAGGAATTCACGATTAATACAATGTATATCTGTCGATAAAAAGATCTGTAGTAGCAAGCAATTCATCACACTATATAATCTGTCATATCTACCGTGCACTGCACTACTTGGTCTGAAGTAGAGAAAAGAAACTAAGTATATCGTATAAAACCTCAGGGCAAACAAATAACTATAGAAGACAACGCATCTAATTGCAAATCACATGTACATCAAGGTTATGATCATCCATGTCTAGGTTTAAGACAATTTTAAGTAAAATTGCCACTATATATACACGGAGGGTGTCAAAGGAATTATATACTTTAATTAGTAAAATCAACGGCATATAAAATCCAAAAAGGGAATTCAAATTGGAACAGACGGAAAATAGATAAAAGATTTACCAGAAGCAAAACAATCACACAGTATTATCTCCACAATGAAGAAATTGCATCGCCAAAATGGAGATAGATAAGTCTCAGACGGTTTATAGATGAAGGGAGATAGCAAAAAATAAAAAGCGTAATCAGACAGATGAACAATGAAAATTAAACATACCAGGTGAGCAATACCAGACATTCCTGCCTTCAAGCAATCGGATATTGTCTCCATGTTCAACTAAACCTCTATAGAAAACTGCAAAAAAAAAAACAGATGAGAATCATTTAGAAACGGGGAAAAAGTTTTCCATTAGCATTTTTCCAAAAGAAGGCAATCAATTGCTTTCACATGTAAAAAATAAAGTTTGAAAATTAAAAATGAAGCAAGTTGAGGAGCAGAAGCAGGTGACGGTAGACGATACATAAGTTTTTAGAGAATATCAAAATATATAATCTAGAAAAACAAATAAAGCAGCCAATCCGAAGTTAAATAAACAGAAAGAAAAAGACAACTTGAATTGAAAAAAATTCTTTTCTAAACACTTCATTTTCTATATTCTATTGGGTTCAATTTTTCACCAATTCTGCTTGGTTAAAAAGACATACCGCCTTCAGAAAATGACAATCTGCTTGGTTATATAATCTAGCACCAATTCTGCAACTCCTTTCATGGATGCAGCTGCCTTGAACAGATCGGATTACATATGGCCAGCAGAGACGAACAATCTAATTCCTAATGGAAGACGACATTTATCAAGCGATGACTTTTTGGAGGCAACCACAAAGATGGAATGCTCTTTCAACAACTACATAACCGCAACCATTACAATTAAAAGTAGAGAGGCAGAAAAGGACAGAAAAGGATTCACAGAATCTGCTTTCTGTAGTCTGAGGAAGACAATTCAGGATTCTGGACTGCTAGCGAATGAGAGGCCCTGTATAGCTGACAATCCTGCACACCACATCACATCACGTCACATTTCTCAATCAAGAGAATCATAATGCAAGGCAGGCAGTAAGTGATCTCACAACGCAAAGGGGATGCCAAGGAAATTGATCAAGTGATGAGTACACACCACGGCGCTGACAACTGTCCAGATACAGAATAAAGAACATCAAACTACATGCAAGTGAATAAGAGATCAAGAACATACCTTTCCATAATATGGCAATATTTTTTCTTCAGCTTTGTTATCAGACCAGGGTTTTCCTCGAGGATATCAATGGCAGTAATGGCAGCACTCGCAAGATATGGGGGCAAAGAAGCAGAAAAAGACGTACCCAGAGCTACTCAATCGCTGCCAAATACCATATCCCAAAATTTTTATCATTTAGAAACTTTTGACGCTTTTTTGTTTAATATATGCATGCACATAAGTGATTGTGAGCACATAATTAAGCATTCACTAAAATAGAAAGATAAGAAAGTCATTTGCTTGTTAAAAATTTCATCTATCAACAGAGACATCATATAAATGGTTAATAGTGTGTATTCGGTAAACATACTTGGTGATTGGTGACTCTAGCACTTCCAGTGCAAAATCCTCCTTCTGTGGCTAATGCGTGTCCCATTGCACCAGTAATAATATCTAATTTTTCAACCTGCAAAATCACACCACCAGAAATCACAAAACAGGTAATGGATCAATAGTTATGAGAGATACAAAAAAAAGACGGGTTTCTAAAAATACCGGAATCCTACAGTATTCAGTTACCTCTTCCAGATTTTCCAAGCACACCAAATGAGTTACTCTCATCCAATAACACATGAAACTTATATTTCTCCTTCAATTCAACTATCTTGTCTAAAGGGGCTATTTGGCCAGAATTCTGCAAATTTTATTAAAAGGAAACAAAATTCAAATAAAATCAACCTACATCTAATTGCATTCAGCTATTGAAGTTCTCAGAAAAACTGAAGACAATTTGTCAAGATGCAAATGACAACGTTGAATGCTGAAAAGACAGTTTGTTTTTCTATTTGCCAGTGATTCACGTAGAGATGGAAGCTTTCCTAAAAATGTAACATGACACCAAGACTTAAGAAAAACCTTAAAAAATTGTGTCCACTGAAGTATGAGCAACCTATTTTGTGAAAGTGGATGATGCTGGATTGAATCATAAAAACAGCTCACAACATATAAAAAAAATGAATAAATAAAATTTGATATACGGGAAAGCAACATACAGGAAAATCACCAAAAATACCAACGAAAAAAAGGGAAAACAATATACAGGAAAATACATTATCTTCATAAGTAAGAAGCAGATTGGAACAATGGAATTAGCAAAAAGCAAAAAAGCCCCAGCTCAAAACCCAATTTTTTTTTTTTCTAAATCTAATCCTAGATATGAACATTTCAGCGAAACCTAAACCCTGGACAGGCACAAATATTCAACTCTTCATAGAAAATTTACAAAAATTTAAAGAATGACAACCCCAGCAAAAACAAAAAAAAAAATAATCCAAACATATCCAAAATTAGCAAGAGAAACACAAACCCAAAAGCAAATCAGCCTCTCACACTAAGCAAACACAGTAGCAGCCATGCACGCCCATGGCTCTTTCATCTCAGGAGGCCATGACTGACGACGGAATAAACAAAAATACCAAAGAAAGATCAGATTCCAAAAAAAACCCAAATCGAAATGAACCCTAGAAATTGAAATTCAGAATTGAAAATTCAAATTGGGGGAGCTCTGATATTTTACCTAAATAGCAACTTAGGAGTTGCCGCTGCACCACTAATTCACAACTAAGCCGTAGCCATATCCATTCCTCAACAATCTTTGAATTCTAATTAAAACACAAAAAATATTAGAAAATGGTTAAAGATAAGTTATATAACCGCAGGCAAATCCATTCCTCAGCAATCTTTCAATTTTAATTATAAAAAATAAAAAAATAAAAAAAAATTGTTAATGATAGGTTACACACCTGACCCAGAAAGCGTTTGCAAACTCCCAAAACAAAACCCTAAAATTAGAAGATAAACGTTTCCTGAAACCAAAAATGAAATCAAACAAAAAATCCACACACAAATCAGCAAAAAATAAAGAAAGCATTTAGCAAGAATCGAATTTTACAACAATCAATTAAAAAAATCTCTCCAGATGAAATGTTCTATTTGTCCTAATAATATATATATATATATAAGATTAAAAAGTGAGAGAGAGAGAGAGACGAACCTTCATACGGAGGCTAGCGATCCGGAGCTCGAGAAATCTGTGGAAGCAAATGAAAAGGCCCTGATTTTCCATATTTCTTCTGCTCTAGGATGAGAGAAACGGAAGAGATGGAGCTGTGGCTGCTAGGGTTTGAGGAGGACAGAAACAGGAAGAGTGATAGATGAGAGGGCTCGCGTAGGAGAGAGAGGAAGAGTGAGAGATGAGAGCTGGTTGGGTTCTACTCCTGAGACTCGTGTCCCGTTAACTACAGGCCCCCATACTTGTCTCTGACTGTCCCCCCTCTCCCACTCATGAAATCGAGGATCTGTAGCAATGGCGCTGAGATCCCCACACCTCTCTCTCGCTCTGTCTCTCTCTCTCCCTCTCTATCGGAGGCATGGCCTCCCATCCCCGAAACCCTCACGGAATGACAGCAAACCCAAACC